TTCGTCCAGCCACATCCGGGTGACGTCACATCCGATTCTGGTCAATGGAACGCACGCCGACTGCATTGCATGAGCGGTGCTAGCGGTTTAAGCTGAGTGTATTAGTGCCGAGTATTGGGCACTAACTAATGTGAGTGTACTCTTGTTGGTTTTTTGTATTTTTATAATAAACATACTATATTATGAGAAATTTCTCCTTCTGATTTATGATGATCTTGGATTATGGAGTAAAATTGGGAGACTATTGAGAAGATATCCACTGATGGTCCAAAGCCTTGCCTCAACAGCAAGGCTCCTACTTTCCATTCATCATACATCTGCATCAGAGGCTGGTCATCAGCTCTGAGGAAAAGGATGTTGGTGCCAAATGGACTATTTAAACTGGGCCAGTACTCACAATCAGTGCTGTCTTGTCTACAGTGTTCCCATGCAAAATGCCAACCTGTTACTCTGCATCTGTCTCCAGTTGTTGACACAGCATGCCTTCACTACTCCTGAACTCCACCTGCACCAACCCCAGCTTGTTCCTCACCTCTGTTTCTGCCTGTGCCAATTGCTGCTACTTTGCTGATTTGTTACTGACCTGGCCTGTACCATGACTTCGCTCCTGCTTCCACATCTGTACCTAATCTGTCTGCCTATGTATGTATTTAGGGCATCACAGTGGCTAAATGGTTAGCACTTCCGCCTGGCAGTACTAGGGTCGTTGGTTCCAATCCCAACCATGGCACCACCTGCCTGGAGTTTGAATGTTCTCTGTGTGCTTGCATAGATTTTCTCCAGGTAATCCAGTTTCCTCCCACACTCCAAAGACATGCTGGTAGGTGACTTGGCCCCTGTCTAAATTGGCCCTAGTATGTGTATGTATGAATGTGAGTTAGGGACCTTAGATTGTACACCCCTTGAGGGTCAGGGACTGATGTGAATGCACAATATATATGTAAAGTGCTGCATAAATTGACAGTGCTATATAAGTATCTGTAATAAATTACAAAAAAAAATGGCCTGGCTTGTCTGACCCTGTCTGTGTTCCAGTCATCAGTGGATTTTCAAGCTGCAAGCATCTGCCTGTTATCCACCAGTGCATGTTACATAGTTAGTCTGGCTGAAAAAAGACAAAAGTCCATCCAGTTCAACCATGTTAAAAGATGGTGTTCCATCTGCCTGCTACCCACCTGTGGTTCACCTGTCCACTGTCACCAGTGCCAGCCTGTTCTTGCCTACTACTCATCAGCTGCTACCCTGCATTTCTGCTTGCTGTATTTTGCTGACATCCATCCACTGCTTGTTCAGGAGATCCTGCCCAGCCCTGTGGCTAGCAAAACCATCAGGCACTCTGCACTCCTGTGCTACCTGTCTACATCTGGGGCCCCGAGTCAGAGGTGTAAGAGAGGTCTTCTTTATCGTATCAGGCTCTTCTACCAGGTAAATTAGTTTTTCCTGGTTACATAGGTACAATCAGATACCTTACCATGTGTTTACATCATCCTATTTATTTTTTTCCCTTATAGACGTTTACTTTAGCTAATGAAAGGATAGCTTATTTTAACCACAACAGACCCCAAATGTCCTTTGAGGCCCAGAATCGTTGGGGCCCAGTACCGTTTGCCAGTATGATAAAGATTTATCAAGGCCATATTAATATGCATCAAATAGTTTTTGATACAATCGAAGTGGAACTCCAGGCAAACTTCAAAATGATTGAGTTTTCCTTAAAGGGTAGTATTAATTTTACAACACACAAACACGTTTCAGACGATTGTATGCTCCCAACCTTGTGGCAATAGTTAGGGGAAGACCCTTTTCTGTTCCACTTTGACTATGTTTCAATAAACAAAGTCAAGTTCATAAGCACATAATATGGTGAGTTTGATATGGCAGAAATTGAGTGGTCTGCACAGAACCCTCATCTCAATGCTTTTCAATAATTTTGGGATGAAATGGAACACCAAATACAAGCCAGGTCTCACCTGACCTTATGTATGTTGTTAAAAATACATTTTAGACAATGTTTTGCTTCCAACATTGTAGTTATAGTTGGGCAATAACCCTTTTCTGTTCCACTTTGACTGTGTCCCAATCAATGAAGTCAGGTCTGTAAGGACATCATTTGGTGAGTTTGGTGTGGAAGAATTCGAGTGGTCTGCACCAGACCCTGACCTCAACCCTACTGAACAGCTTTGGGGTGAAATAGGACACCAAATGCAAATCAGGTCTTCTCATTCAACATCATTACCTGTCCTTGTGAATGCTGTTGACTGAATAAGTATAAGTTTCCACAGACACATTGGCAAAATCTTGCGAAAAGCCTTCCTAGAAGAGCGGAAACTGTTTTAACTGCATAGGAAGAGCCATCTCCATTCCAATACTGATGGTTTTGCAATGGCATGTTCAAAAAAAACCCATATAGGTATGTGTGAGCAGGGGAGGGGCAAAGCACTGGGTACCGGAGATTAGAGAACACACACAGAGGCCAAATAGTGCACAAAGTATATTGATGCAAGATTTCCGAGAAGATAGTACAAAGTCTGGATAGATGGCCACATCAACTTGGTAATACTTAGAGGGAATTATGCAGAGGATGCCAGTACATACTGCTGATACTCAACGGAATCTGACAGAGGAGGTGGCTACAAGGCAGACTGAAATGAGGCACCTGGATGAGAAAGGGATCCTGCCTGAGACACAAGGGACAGATCCTATTCTGTCTCTCCTCCATTGCAACCTCTCCCTATGCTAGGCACTATGTCCTTGTCCAGTGGGGTCTCTGTTTCTAACCAAGCCACTCTGCTAAATGTACACCAACCGAAGGGGGGCAGGCTCTTTCTTAGCACTGCCCACACCAAAGATGGCAAAACTTCCAAAAAGAAGCCTCAAGGTACCTACAAATATATGATCAAATGAAAATATATGTATACTGGGAGTCCCTAGACACCAAGCCAATGAGAAACTACCAGAAAAAGACTAGTTGTGGACTCAACCGGAGTGGGGAATTTGTAAGTATACTTTTAATTTTGTTCATGTTAATAAAGATGTTTTCACGCACCATTGATCACCTTCTCCTTTGTTTGAATTATTTTTCTCCAGTATTTACAAACTCCCCACTCCGGTTGAATCCACAACTAATCTTTTTCTAGTTGTTTCCCACACCAAAGATGGCCAACTAGGGTAGCAGCATCCAATCGGACAGCTGCTCTCCTGTTAACACCTATGTAGGCCTCAGAGGAACATGGGTTACTCTTGCCTTCCAATCTCTCTCTGCATTGCGGCTGTTGAACAGCGCCACCTAAGCAGGGAGGCCAAACTACACCTGCGTACATATGGGAGTCAGGTGCCAGCAAATATTGTCTGTATATTGTAGTTTTCAGACAGGAATTTAGAGAATTCCCATCCTTCTGCTCTGCAACTGCCTCACTCCCTCTCTCAACACTCTATTTCAAAATATTCAGCAACCATACTGTAGTGACCTCTCTCTATATATACAAAAAGAATGAGGTAAGATAAGGTTAGCAATACGGTTTGCTAAAGTCCTTGAGATGCATATAGATATAAATGTTTTTTTTTCACCACAAAACCAGAATTATATTTTAATTTTAAGTGGCTTATGTGTGCTGTAAACTTGAAATTCAGGATAGCTGGAAGGTCACTGACCCGCTGTCTTAGATCTCTAGAGGTGCAGATATTTTTTTGCATAAAATGCTTGTAACTTGGAAATGGTGTGGTCAAATAGCAAGAAAAAAAAAAAGAAGAGCCCTTTGATTTTGTAAGAACTAGCTCGTTATGTCTGAGGCATTTTACACTGGCTTAGAGAGGGAAAAAAAAAAAATCACCTGTTACAATACTTGCTCTTGCTGCCTCAAGAATTTCAGTTAATAAAGAGAGCGCACAGGGGACTCCAGTATAAAAAACACTACTGAGAGTACAAATGCTCAAAGTGATGTATAAAAAGAGCAAAATAAATAAATTCAATGGACCAGAAATGAGGATGAAAGGAGCGATAGCACAATGGGGGAATAGGAAGCGGGGAAGTAGATTAAATTGACTAAGGTCCATTTCAGCAAAACCGTATAGACATGTAAATGGAGAATCATAGGCATAAACGCTGAAATTAGCTATACAGGCGTGCTTTGTGGGCAGGAAATTAGTCTATTTTTTCAGGGTTATTTATATTCAAGCCTTCAGTGGCAAGCTGTGAATCCGGGGAGATTGCTGAACTCAAAGTTTTCAGGTAAGCATTAAGGGATCCACAAACTAAGTTGAAGGCACTGTGGGTCCATGTATGAACGAAGCATTCATACATGTGATAGTTCCTACATGTGCCACATTAATATCTACTGCTGGGGAAGCCTATGATTATTATTATTATTACTACAGGTACTTATATAGCAAAGTCAATTTACGCAGCACTTTACATATATATTGTACATTCACATCAGTCCGTAACCCTCAAGGGGCGTACAATCTAAGGTCCCTAATTCACATTCATACATACACATACTAGGGCCAATTTATGCAAGAGGCTGATAGCAAGTCAAATTTAGGTACTTCCTAAACTGCTTACATTTATAAAAATACATTTCATGACATATTTATGAATACAGAGCTGAGCTACTTTGTGTATTTAATATTTTCCTGGAATTATTTTATTTATTTCAGGTACTTATACAGCGCTGTCATTTTACGCAGTGCTTTACATATATATTGTACATTCACTCAGTCCCTAACCCTCAAGTGGTGTACAATCTAAGGTCCCTAACTTACATTCATACAAATACTAGGGCCAATTTAGACAGGATCCAATTAACCTACCAGCATGTCTTTGGAGTGTGGGGGGGAAAAACTGGAGTACCCAGGGGAAACCCACACAGGCACAGGGAGAACATGCAAACTCCAGGCAGGTGGTGCTATGGTTTGAATTTGAACCAACGACCCTAGTACTGCCATGAGGAAATGCTAACCATTTATCCACTGTGCTGCCCAGGGGCAGACTGACAAGTCTCATGGGGCCCCCGGGCAATAGGAGATCATGGGGCCCCTGTGTCCTTGCCCAAACTCAAAAAAGCCTATGAAAAAGGTATCAGAGGCATCTCATGGGGCCCCCTACTGACCCTGGGGCCCTCGGGCAGTGCCCAAGTTTCCAAATGGTCAGTCCGCCCCTGGTGCTGCCTATTGCAACCGTTGCAACACTGCAGTGAAAAGGGCACAGGGTGCACTGTAATACTAAATACTGTACATAGTCACATTAAAGTGGAAAAAAAGACTAACACTATTTTTAAAAATGCAACCCTCCACCTCCCACCTATCCTGCATGTGCTGTATAAAAAAAGATCTGTGCACTTACCTATTTTAATCCAGTCCAGTCCAGTCCAGTGATCCGCTGATGTTACTTCATAGCTGTTGTTCAGCGCTCTCTTACACAGGAGAGCCTGAGCTATAGGATCGCATGGTCAGATTGGACCAGATTAAAAAAAAGTATGTTTTTTGTGTAGAGGATTTAACCACTTGCCACAGGGGTGTATTTAGGTTTTGTGCTGACCAACACCACCCCCCCTCCCCCTTCCACGGAGAGAGCCTGACATTGACAAACAACACCCCTGTCCCCCCACCTGGGAGAGCCTTCAACTACCCCCCCCCCGGCGATAGAGAGAAAGATACTCATCTTCACACCTCCAGACATCGCCGGGAAAGAGAGTCAGGCTCCGCATACACCATCAAGCAGCCCGCAGCCTCTCTTGGCTCCTCCCCACACATATCATCATGTTTCATGTGACTTCCTCATGGGTCAACATCGTGTGTGGGAAACACTAGTATGTATTAGGCTGTCGTTAAAGAAGGGTGATTAAACAGAACCTATACCCCCCTATATCATATGTCCCTATCAGAGTCCCTCTTTGCATCAGGAGTCCTCGCCAGAGCTCAATGGACCACAATCTGTGTACCTGCAGCCTGGGAGCGATTGTTACTGGGTCAGGTTAATTACTCAATTAACCCTTCACACTGCCGCCACCTCCTTTTTGTACAGAGAAAGAGAAAACTTGGCAATATTAGCAATAACACTATGATGTTTGAATAATCGTTTGTATACACAATGTCACCGCAGACAGATGTATGCCGACGTTTAAAACACAAAGTAGCGCTCTTCAGAGACAGGGATTCTTAGTTTGCATTAAAGAGCTTTAGAAACAGTTCAACACTTTTCAGAAAGTAAGATTTATTACTAAAAAGGTCAAAAGGGTGCAATAAAGATATTTACAGAAAAAATGTAGCCTATATATATATATATATATATATATATACAGAGAGCAATAACACAGCAAAGAGATAACAGAAAGAAGTTTAGAGAGATAGAGTACTTGCCAAAAGTCCTGGGTTAAGCAGATCAAGTTTCCTGAGCCAAAAGGGTGCCTTATCTCCCAAAGTTGGTTCCAATGTTAAAAGGGAGGATTCTTCAACTTCAACTCGACCTGCTCAACATTACTTCTCTCCAAGCTAGGTTGGGTTTTATAACCATGGAGCTCTCCCACTGTGCCTGCGATCTCTGGCATCATACAGACCACATTCCTGAGGGAGGGGGGAAATTGGAAAGAAGCTGATTTGGGAGTAGTAATGATACAAGATGGAGGATCCTTAGCAAGATGGATGGTCGCGTTCATCTCTGCATGCACAATTGCTACAGGAGGCACAACTAAAATCTGGGGGAGCACAGCCCAACCCACCCCAGCACCCCCCTAGATCCGGCACTGGGTTCCTCCTGGTGCATAATGCCCTGCCTCATGTGGCGAGAGTATGGAGGCAGTTTCTGGAGGATGAAGGAATTGATACCATTGAATGGCCCCCACGTTCTCCTGACCTAAATCCAATAGAACACTTCTGGGATATCATGTTTCGGTAATCTGAAGTTGCAAGGTTGCACCTAAGACTGTCCAGGAGCTCAGTGATGCCCTGGTCCAGACCTGGGAAAAAAAATGTACCCCAGGACACCATCCGTGGTCTCATTAGGAGCATGCCCCGATGTTGTCAGGCATGCATACAAGCACATGGGGGCCATACAAACTACTGAGGACCATTTTGAGTTGCTGCAAAGAAATTTCAGCAAATTGGACTAGCCTGCTGCATCATTTTTTCACTTTGATTTTTGGGGTCTTTGAATTTAGTCCTCTGTATGTTGATCATTTTTATTTCCATCAAACGATGGGGCATCCTTATGTTCCTAACACATTGCCCAGTCCATATCAGTATAGATATCCATGCATGATATTTTTCCTCATTGAGATCTGATGTGTTTTCAAAGTGTTCCTTTATTTTTTTTTGAGCAGTGTATTTTAAAGTACTGCGCACTCAAAATATACCATCCAAGTAATTAATTTAGGAATACTCCTACAATGACACACAAACACGAGTAAACTAAAGTGATCCTTCTGCCTCCTGTTTATAGCGTGACCATATTGCCATTCCATAATGTGTAGGTTTCTTTTTTTGCTAGCATTGTTCTGTGCAGGAAAAAACAGAGCATATTTTCATAGTGACATTACAGCGGCTGAGATATTTTCTCTTCGGTGCATGGAGAAAACACAGCACACATTATCGTGTCTACACATCTTGTTACTGTTAATAACACATTAGTCGTCACAGCAACGGAAAAACTCAGTTTTACTGTTTACTGCGCGTCAATCCCGAGGTGAGAAAGCTTAGTGGGCTCTCTGCGTCCATCTATTTATACCCATGACTAAACTATCTTATTTAACTGTATTTCAGACACAAATTACAGGGAGGGCAACTGTGGCGAGGAAAATTGTGCAGACCGAGACAGATTTCTGGTTTCTCAAATCAACCAGTCGGGCTTCCAATAAAGTATGAAAAAGGATATAGAGTGGCCCTGGATACAAACTACAAAGTCCTTCTGAGATGGTACCTAGTCCCTGCCTGGATTGCTAAACTTCTCCCCTCTTACCCCTCATCTTGCTCCCATGGCTGTACAGTCCCAGACACCCACCTCCACATTTGGTGGAACTGCCCGATAGTCCGTGACTTCTGGTCAGAGATATTTACAATGTTATCCACTCTATTTAACATCACCTTAAATATAGACCCTGTCATGGCTTTGCTTAACCGAAAACCACCCGATCTGACCTCACACCAGTTTTAATTGCTGCTTCAAATTACTACTGCAGCTAGTGAAACCATTGCGAAGGCCTGGAGAACACCCTTCCTTAGTGTGGCCAAAAATAGAGTCACGCAGGCCATGATACATGCAAAATTCGAAGCCATGTTATTGGACAAAGTGAGTAAATACGAACAACTTTGGAACCCTTGGATAACACACTATCTGCCTTCTAATTTTGCTGAAACATAATTAACCCCCTAGTACCTGTGCAGCACACACCTATTTGCCATCTTGCCATTGGCTCCTCTACCCGCTAGTCCTCCTCTCTCTCTTTCCCGCCCCTCAATCCTTTCTTCATCTTTACTTTCTCTTTTTCCTTACTCTTTCTTAGTCTCCCTTTCCTTCACACCAAACATACAACCCTGTACCCTAATGTTGTCTATAATCCCACATTATGAGGATATGTCTAATCAGAGCCACAAAACTACCGTGTAATGTTGACACACTCTATATCCCACACTCCCATGTGGCCCTCACATATGGCGGCCGCTACCTTTACTCTTGTGAGCCCTCTTTGCTCCCATCTGCTTATACAGTTGCAAGAAAAAGTATGTGAACCCCTTGGGATTATGTGGAGTTTTGCATGAATTGGGCATAAAATGTGCTCTGAACTTTATCTAAGTCACAACAATAGAAGAACACAGTCTGCTGAACATAATACTACACAAAACATTAGATGTTGCCATGGTTTAATTGCACATAACATGTAAACATTCACAGTGCAGGGAGGAAAAAGTATGTGAGGCCCTAGCTTAATGACTTCTCCCAGAGCTAATTGGAGCCAGGAGTGAGCCAACCTTGACTCCAATCAGTGTGATGATATTGGATGTGTTGCTGACAGCTGTCCTGCCCTTAAAAAACACACACCTGTTTTGGGTTTACTGGTTTCAAGAAGCACTGTCTGATGTGAACCATGCCTCGCAGAAAAGAGCTCTCAGAAGACCTACGATCAAGAATTGTTGACTTGCATGAAGCTGGAAAGGGTTACAAAAGTATCTCCAAAAGCCTAGATGTTCATGTGTCCACGGTAAGACAGACTGTCTACAAATGGAGAAAGTTTAGCACTGTTGCTACTCTCCCTAGGCGTGGTCGTCCTGTAAAAATGACTGCAAGAGCACAGCGCAGAATGCTGCATGAGGTAAAGAAGAATCCCAGAGTGTCAGCTAAAGACCTACAGAAATCTCTGGCACATGCTAACATTTTTGTTGACACATCTACAATAAGGAAAACATTAAACAAGAATGGAGTACATGGGAGGACACCGCGGAGGAAGCCATTGCTGTCCAAAAAGAATATTGCAGCACGTTTGAAGTTTGCAAAAGAGCACCTGGATGTTCCACAGCACTACTGACAAAATATACTGTGGACAGATGAAACCAAGATTGAGTTGTTTGGGAAGAACACACAACACTATGTGTGGAGAAAAAAAGGCACAGCACACCAACAAGCTCTGCTATTTTTCTGTTTATGGGAATTATGTTAATGTTATGTTGATTTGAATTTTGTTATTAAAAGGCTGCTATTGCCATTTTACTCCAAGATCTGGGTGTGGTTTCTTATTTTCATGAGGATGGTTTTGGAGGGTAAGTGGTTAAGCAGTCAGTGGTTAAAAGTGGGATGGACATCTATTCTACACTAGTCATGTCTTGCAATTGTCTTTGTATGTTTGAACACCCTGTTGAATCATATATTCTGTATTAGATTCAAATACTTGAACAAGAAAAAATTATAGAGAATGGATGATTAATTGCTGTGGGTAACAAAGCCTTCCTTTTCCTGAACCTGGAGGCTGAGGGTATGAAGTAGCATGCATCTATGCCCCCAGAATCAATAATTGGTTTCTAATCAATAATGCAGTCTTAGGGTCCATTTATACCTGCTGGTGTGCGTTATGCTATGGATAATGTGCG